CCGCGACTTCTGGCGTGGCGCACTCCATGCCATCGCCGTCAGCGAGCACCGGCTCGTCGGCGCTGTGTCTTGACGTCGTCATACGCTGAAGTTTAGACATGCCATGGGCAGGTGGCTCGTCGTTGACTGAAACATCCCACTCGGTGTTCTTCTGTCGTGCTCCGACGAGCAAAGCGTCCACGGAGAATCCGAGCAATTCCATAACAGGGCGACTAATGATCAGGTCGATCTCCGGCGACGTGTCATCAATCCAGCAGTGGAGACCACGTAACGTCAATGGTCCACACGTCGTCCCCAGCACGACCGCACCAAATTTGACGCTTCGCTTCATTCGCAGCGGCTCTGCCTTGATGTCATACGGGTAGACCAGCCGAGCCGTTTCATGCTCCGTGACCGTCGCCCAGGACAGAAATTCCGTCACGCCACTTCTTGAGTTGAGCTTCGAGTAGACGATCCGCCTCGCCAGGCGCCACCTTTGGACACTCCGCAACGCGATGGCTAGTGTCTCCACATTTCAGGCACCCAATCTTCCTTCTTGCTGGCTTTTCTTCCTTGGACTTGCCATCGTCCCTTTTCGCCGGGGAGGTACCCTTGCACCACCCCCGCCGCCGCCGACGCTGACACCGCAGCCACCACCGCTGCGGGCGCCATTCTTCGAGTCGCCCTTCGGATTATGGCCTTTCAGAGAGGCAACCGGAGCTGTCAGTTCCTCGACACCTACGTAGAGTTGGCAACCCACAGCAAAGTGGCGCAGCCAGTTCACAAAACGAAACACATCGTTTTTCAACCCCCTGTTGCGCTGGCTGCTGTAACGAGCAGTTCCCCATTAAGGAGTTCCTCGTTATACAAATACATCAAGATGAAGAAGCAGACTGGTTCCATTGCAATTAAAATACGTGGGGCAAAGCCATTCATGCCTGCCGAAGTGGAAGATGACCTGGTGTAGTGTATCATTGCAATGCAGCGCAGTGGTTGGTCTGTAGAACGCTATGAAATCATCATAAAGGCAAGCCAAATCGTATCTGTACATGCTGGCATCCCCTGCTCACTTGGACGATGTTGGTACTCCGGCTTTGAGGGCCGCCATGAGGTGTTGACGAGTCGAGTTGCCCAGAAGCTATGCCACGCATGTTGTTGAGACAAGTTTAGACAAGTTTCAAGACAAAAGGCAGCTCGCGCAAGGTTATTGCTATTCGAGGATCCAAGATCGTATGGCGAGGCGATCAAAGTGACGCGTACCATCTCACGATTGTTGCTGCTGTCGCTACCGATGGGACACCTGTTCCGCCTGCGTTCATCCTGCCAGGTAAAAGTTGCTCCAGAGATGTTTTGGACGCGTGTCCCGTACCTGAAGTTATGGTTTCTGCTGCCCCCAAGGGTTTCATGAACTCGGACTTATTCGACAGTTGGCTCGAACGCTTCGGAGAGTGGAAATTGCGTACTCGAGATGCAAGACCTGCTGTGTTGTTCCTGGACTGCTGATCACATGTGTCAGAGAGCAGTATCCCAATCTGCTTGGCATATCGTATATACCTAGTTCATCTTCCCCCAATGCGACTCATTTCCCTGCAGCCTCTTGATGTCGCCTTGTTTCACCTGTTCAAGAGAACCATTGCCTGCGCTGTGTGACCCATCGACTTCAATCGCTCAATGTCACTACCTTGCCTCGTCAGGCTGCCATACAGATCGCTGGCGAATCCTTCAACTCTGTGTTTCCCTCTGTCGAGGGTGTGAAAGGCAAGAACACGTCGTTGGGGAACGGTTTTCTGACTTGTGGAATCTGGCGGTTGTCGTTCCCAGGACGTTTCGTCGCCTGGCGTTGGCGCACACTAACTCTGTGAGAGATGACCTTGTGACTGCACCGTGGTTAAAGACGAAATTGCATGCCCCATGACGAGTTGCTTACGTTACCTCCGAAGAAGTAAGGACGAAAGCGAGTCCAAACGGAGCTTGTGTGGCATACGCGCGATGCACTTCACGCTGCCTCTGTTGCAAAGCCATCGAAACGAAACAAGTAAATTTTTTGTTCGTCTGCAATAAAAATGCATGAAATTTAATGAATTTGTGAGTTTGAGAATATTAATATGGTTCATTATATTTTTTGGTATTATATTTCAAAAAATTTACATACAAATTTGCAGGGATGGCACGGCGCGGTTTTTTACAATCGGGTTTTATTCGGCTTTATTTAAAAACCGAATAAAACCCGATTGTGCGGCAACGCACACGGTTTGGCGTACAAGCTCGACCCTCGGTTCATCGGAGAGGGGATGCCGAGGGAATATCGCGAAGAGCTGGAGGACGTCCTGTTCGCATTTCGTGTCGACGACGAGCCCCGCGAGTCCATGGATGACGCACGAGCGCAGCTCATTTGCAAGCAGTGGACCGAGTTCGTCATTGCCGCGACCCAAGCGAAGGAGGCGAACTCGCTGCGCTACACGATGATCGCCAAAGGCAACAAGACCGTCTTGCAGTACTGATTGGCCGATGGCAAAGACTGGCCCGAGCTGCGCCAGATCGCCATCAAGCTCTTCAGCATGGTAACGTCGAGTACCGCCTCAGAGCGAAACTGGTCCACCATGGGCTTCATTCATTCGAATTTGAGGAATCGTCTGAACCCGAAGGGCATTGTCAAGCTCACGTATATCAAGAGCAACTTGCCGGCCTTCTACGATTACGCACAGCTGGACGAATCCGATGTTCAGATTGCAACAGCGAACCGGAATGGAATGAATGAACGCGACATCGATGCTCGACCTGCGCCAGAATAAAACCATTGCTTTTTGCGCCAAAATCGGGTTTTATTGTATTAAACCAAAAACCCGATTGTTGCCCGAAAAAAAATCGGGTTTTTCTCATCCCTGCAAATGTGAAGTAACTTGACTTTCCGAGATTTAGTTTCATTGGAATTCTCACTTAAAGCTTTAGTCTGTTGTATTATTTTTCCTGCAAATCATGAATTTCTTCTTTTCATAACGTTCGAGGCACGAAAAATAAGCTTGGGAATTATAGTTTCTGAATGTATCATCATATTTTTTGCTCAATATTTCCTGAATAAAATGCTCCTTCAAAATCTATGCCACCTTGTCTCCATAAAGTGTCCGAGAATTCGATGCATTACCTTATCCTGAAATGATCACCTTAGGTGCACAAGATGTCAAAGTACGATTGCCTTTTGGCTGAGCGATTATGGTGACTGCTGTCATTTGCTGTGACCCCTCTTTAACTATTATCATATATACCTTTTCCAGAAATATCTTGAACAACACACCTGTGAGATATTGTTTTCATCTTATCCCACCAAGAAGGTAACTTCGCTCAATCCTTAATTGATTAAAACATGCATTCTACCATCCTCATAGTACCTGCAGCATTTATTCTCGTTCACTCACAACAGCAGAAATTTTTGGTGCATTATTTTGAATAACAAATTACTTCAACATTGCGCAATATGGATGAGAAAAACCACAGACTGTTCACACAAAGTGCACTAACACCTCTCGCGATTTCATGTAACATTGGTTTGCCAGCAGCGTAAACGCTGGCCTGAAGTATTTGCCCCAATTGTATACTCGCTCAGGAAGAACCTGAACAATACAGAAATCAATACAAAAAACAAGTTATATGATTGTACAAGACAATATGATTAGTCGATTCACTCTTTGTACGCGGGGCGATCTGACGAGCAAGCTGATCTACCAGCAAGTGGCTCCGCGAAAATCTGTGGTGTCCGCAGCCGAGAAGAGGCTGGCCATGAGACAGCGAAGGATTGCCGATGGGGTTGAAGTGCCTTGTGGGGTATTCAATCCCTCGTCCACGAAGGCTCCGCCAGTGACCGTTTGGTTTGCTGGAATTATTAACTAGTTGTGAATGTACTAGCAGTACTTTTAACTTGGTCACAACATGTTGGTCGCGAGCACTCATTGACGTCGAAAGTCCAAAATTTTGACCAATAACAACGCAGTCCTCATCAGCGAAAAAAGTGCAATATAATAAAAATTCCAGCAAAACCCAAAATCGAAATATTATTGCGTTATACAAATATCAACATATTGAACTAGTACAGTACCATGGGGGAACGATTTCCGTCGTTACCTGTATTTCATATGGATTGAAACTTATTCCAACTGCAATAGATTTGTTAGTATTTAACAATTCTCACTTATCTAAAGGGTTGGGAAGAGGTGTTGTATGGACGAACGGAAGAATCGCGAAGGGGTGGCACTGAGACCTATTCCTTTAAAATAGAGCGATTCCGGATATTCTCCGTTATATTAGAGCGAAATAGAATCGGTTTCATCAAAAAGCCATATGTTGGTTATACCGTCCCTCTGTAACATAACATTAGATTTATACAAGCAATGTGTGACCTGATAATGACGTTCTTGCTGAAATCGTGTGCCCAGCATACGGATGTTGCTGTGGTGGGAACATTCGGCAAGTACTAACTGTACACACGGTCTGTGTGTGTAACCTCATACTGCTTTTGCAATGTTTAGTCCTTGTCACAACCAATCAAAGAAAACAAATGAAATGACAAGAATTTGAAATTTGTATTATATATTTAGTTAAGCGTTTCTTCACCACGTGACTAAAAACGCTTCATTTTTGGTAGGCCACGACGTCTATGAAGAATCAAAAGTTAATGCCCCCGGTATCGATCGTTGCTTACTTTGGCTCATGTTCAATGAAGCACTGTATGGAATTGATAAAAACGTCACTGGACAAGTGACGAGGTGGCTATGGGAAACCGTTCTCGAATAAAATCTTTGCTTATCCTCATTCAAGTAAATGCTAGGTATCCTACTCGGAATTCAAATTACAATTCTGTAGGGGGACATACTGTGGCGATTGGTCCAAACAAAAGCATGATGACAAGGCAACGAATTCTCTTGCCATTGCCCACATGTACAGCTTCGGAGAGGCACATCGACTACATGAATTCGACTTAACGAATTTGAAGTCCTAGCTTGTCGAACGTTGTAATTGCCAATTTTGCGGACGGCAGTCGAATTAGCAATCGTCTCAAGTGTGGCCTACACGTTATTCACATATATTGTATGGAAGACATGGTACCACATAGTGCCGCGACAACTTCACGTTTTCTGCAACACTTTGTTTTGCATTTTCAACAAGGCCTTGAGGTGGACGGCCAACAAGACAACTTCGTCTTTTTCCAAATTTGGCTTGCAGCTTTGACATGTACTGGTAGTACGCCGACACAGGATTTGATGATCTGGTGCGATATCGTTGCAAATCCTTCCTTGCTGATTGCTCATTGGGCCCAATACTTTGGGCCAGGGTCAATACCGCACAGACACTTGTGAGCTCTTGGCAAGCCTTGTTGCGTTTTTTCATGATAACAGTCGACTCGTCTTCGGTAGGTGCTTGCTCAGCTTCATATAGTGTTTTGCGATCGTAATATGAAATCTTAATCTTCTTTTGGCGAATGCTGAGGACTATGTGGAATTTACAATATATGTGCCACCCGAGCGGAAATTATTCCTTCACTGCATTGAATAGGCCTAGAACGCCGTGAAACAAACTCTTGTACCTGTTATTTTACCTTTATCTCTGTCTGAAATGAAAAAGAATTCAGGTGGAATGTTCAAGAACGAGTGATTCAGGTGCTGCAAGAACCAAGTCCTATTTTCTTCACTTTCGACCGGCACGATGGCGAAGGCAACAAGCAAGTTACAGCTTGAGCCGTCCTACATACTAGCAGCAAAAAAGACAGCTGACTTGTTGTATTTACCCTTCAAGTGTGCTCCGTCAAGAGACATTAGTGGCTTCGCCACTTGCGGTGCGTTTTGAAAACACCTTGGAACGAGGGCACATCGCCTGAATGATCCATCAGGAGTAAGTCTCAAAGCAGCGTTCCTATAGATATCTTACACAACCTGCGTATACGTTACGTAACTTGTATATACGCGCGCCTACCGTGGTTATCTTCAGCCAGTCATACGAAGGAGTCGTTCAGGTTGCGATATCCATCCGCGATTGTACCACACACTCCTTCCATTGCAAGCTTCACATTGCTTGTATTAGACAACTTCATCTCGACACTATACTTCAGCAAAACCGCGGTGCGGACTGTACCGCAAGTGATTAATGGGGCATCTTTTGGTGGAGTTTGCTGCTCGTACACGAATTCAGCAACTGTTTTTGCGGTTTCCTCTCTCGAGAGGGTTCGATGTCTCTTCACAATTTGAGCGTCTTGAGAACATGGTCCATCTCGTTCCAGGTCAAAGACACATTCTCAGTATCATCCGCTTCGGAACCAAAATCCATCATACCTTTGCGCTCCTCTTGTTTTGGAAACATTCGCTGGTCGTCGTCATAATTCGTTAAAAAAATGAATGCACCAGAGTTGTCCGAGAGATAAACACCTAATCTGAATTGCCATCATATTATTCTTGACTTCAAGTGCGTATCTCGCTCGACTTTCGTTTGAATGCTCGAACGCCAAATGGACAGGAATCAACGGATTACATGTCCAACGACGATATTTAGCGTTCCCTTGAACCACAACTTCGAATCCAGGCTTGAGGGCAAGAGATTTTATGCGGGTTGCGCATTGCTTCAAGGACTCGTATTAGGTGTCGTCGATTTGTACGCCCAGTTGTACAGCTACTTCCGTGTACCAACTTGGACATGATGTATTGTCGCTTTCATGCATGCTTGTGCCCGCGTTCATTGACTGCACCTTTCTCTTTAAGACAAAGCTGATGTCCATGTTGTCGAGTGGAACAAAGTCCATTGCTCAGAAAATGCCAATCAAAATGCGTTCGCCAATCCGAAATGATTAACATGCATCGTCTTGATTTCTCCGTCATTGTGTTAGAAATGCACTCTACATGTGTTACAGGTAATACTCAATGCGTATAAAACCTGTTGCACAAGCACTATGTGATTCGACTTTTACCTAGCGGGTCAAGTTACACGTGTTACGAAGAATGGTGTGGCATCAAGTTACAAAAACGTTGTGTAACAGAAAAGGATGTGGCATCGAGTTACACACAGAATTTGTGACGAATTTTCTGCGACATGACAGTCGCACAGGAACCGTGTAATCTGTCATTCCTTGCTAAACGTATTTGGTAAAGTGCAGGGTTTGGCTCAGGACTTGGTCATCACGTGTGAATTGGATGTCGTTGTCGTTTCGAGATTGGTGTACAAACCTCGACAGTGACGAGCACACGCCAAAAACGGTGAAGGATGGAGAAACTGTCTTTTCATTCCCAACATGGCCTGCAGCTGGCGCGGCGGTGGCGAAGTTTCTGACAGAGAAGCGATTTTCACTCTCATCCAGCGGCAACGGAGAGGACCTTCACATGCGGCACTACAGATGCCCTGTCACAATAAACAGAGCACGGTGGCCACAGTACTCGCCTTGCAAAGCACGCATCACCTTCTACGTGGGTTCCGAAGTGGTGACGAAGTTCCAGAACGAGGTATGAAAGACCGACAGGTTCGTTCGCGGTACTCATGATGAACAGATCTTACAACACACACATCCCTTGCCTCGCGAAACCAACAAGTGGTGTTCCAAGCAGAAGTCCACGAAAACGTGCGTTGTACACACTATATGGCACGTAAAGAACTCTGTGGCACAGCTTGGTAAATTGGCTGATGATGTTGCTGTGAAGATGGCAGTACATGCCTAGCAAAGTGATGCCAACGACGTAAAGATAACGTTCCTGTGAGTGGAACAACTGCTCGCGTTCGATCAGTCCAAGTCGACACGTCTTGTGTAACCCCATCAATTCGA